GGTAGGTAGGTAGGTAGATGATAGGTAGGTAGATAGATAGATAGATGATAGGTAGGTAGATAGATAGAAAGGAAAGAAAGAGAGAGTAAGAAAGAAAGAAAGAAAGAAAGAAAGAAAATAAATAATGGCTCAGAGTCTTGTGTGATTTCCCTTCCTGCTGTCTTTTCCTGGACCTTGAAATGAACTTCTGAAAGTTTTATCTACTGGAAAAAGGGGGTTAGTCTGTCAGCCGTATCCAGGGGGACGTTTCAGTGACTTGAATCAGGATGTGGGCGGCCTCCGTGCTGTTTTCAGTCCAAAGTACTTCAAGTTTAATACCCGACCATCGCTAACTGGAGGTGTTTGTGTGTTTTGGCCACCTTCCTATTTAGGGGGAGAAGGCCAAACCAGCTTCATTTTGTGTACCAGTCTTAACACGTATTCCTTCGCAGGAAGAGAAGGATGACTATAATTTATCCATATCTATATATATATATATATACACACGCACCTATATATTGTCCTTAAGAGCTTAGAATCTTTTGTCCAAAGACAGAGGTCCTTGGCCCACTGCCCCTCATCCTCCTATCACGGGTGAAGTTAGAAAGAAATATAACTCTTTCTTGATGGGAAGCCATCAGACTTGGAAGCTAGCTTAGACTTTGGGGGATGGTTAGATCGTTGATGATTAAGATCTAGGTGGTTAGATCTAGCTTAGAATCGGGGGGGGGGGTGAGATCTTAGATCTAGATGATTAGTTCTAGCATAGACTTTGGGAGTGATTAGATCTTGACTAGATCTGACACGGACTTGGGAATGGTTAGATTTTAGTGACTAAACCCTAGCTCAGATTGGGGGGGCGTGTTTAGATCTTGATTAGATTCTAGATGATTAGCTCTAGCGTAACTTGGAGAGCTTGATGACTAGATGTAACTTAGATTTGGGGATGATTAGATCTTGGTTAGACCTAGCTTAGACTTGGCAGGTAATTAGATCTGGCTTAAACTTGATCCTGGGGATTAGATCTTGATGATTAGATCTAGCTGAGATTTGGGCCTGGTTCAGCCTTTCCAGAGGAGCGTGTGTTACAGGTCAGGACAAAAACCGCAGAAGTTTCTCTCTCCCGAGGGGGTTCCAGGGTCCAGCTCTTGGCTTCGGTGGTGGCCGGGGTGGGGTGAGGGTGGGGGGGTTGTATGTTGAGCTGCTGTGCCCCCGCCTCTCTCTCCCCCCCCCCCCCCCCAGCTTCTGTCTGTCTGGGCAAGGACTGCCAGCCTGCTTAGCTCTTTTGCATTGCTCTTTGAAAACTCCTTCCTCTTCCTCCTCCTCCTCCTCCTCCTCCTCCTCCTCCTTTGTTTTGTAACCCGGTGCTTCAACTGGCTCTCTCCCCTCACCTTTTGATCTCTGGCTCTTCCCCTGCAGGTGCCTGGAGGACAGCAACGGAGGAGTGGGGGACTGAGGACTGGAATGAAGATGTAGGTAAACCCCCTCCCCCCTGCTCCCCAGTTCCTTCTCCTAGCTTTCTACTTAAAGGAACTTGGGCGGGTTTCATTGCATTCTTTTCTCTTCCCGCTCCAGCTTTCAGAAACGAAGATCTTCACTGCCTCCAATGTCTCCTCAGTGCCGCTGCCTGTGGAAAATGTGACCATCACAGCTGGACAGAGGTGATCCTTTCCTCTCTCTCTCCCTCCTTCCCTCCCTCCTTCCCTCTCTCTCTCTGTCTCTCTGTCTATGTCTCTCACTCTCTCCCCCCATGTCTCTCTCTCTCTCTCTCTCTCCATATATATATTATACATATCTGCGCTCCTCGGTGCTCTCTGAGCTTGGTTTGCTTTCTTGGAGACCTTTCATGACCCAACTAGGTAATATCATCTGTGCTGGAAGGGTTTGTGCAGAGAAGGAGGATCGCGGGGGTGGGGGGGTGTCCTTCGGGCTGTCTGAGCTGAGTAGTTTGCTTACAGACGTTTCACGACCCAACTAGGTGACATCATCCATGTCAGAGTGAAGTCAGGCTTGTGGAGGAGACTTTGGTATCCTTAGTGCGCTCTGGGCGGGGTGGTTTTCTGGCAGACGTTTCATGACCCAACTAGGTAACATAAGCCATGCTGGAAGGGAGTGGGGTGTTCAAGACTGGAGAAGGATGCCTGTCTGAGCTTGGTGGTTTTCCTGCAGACGTTCCATGACCCAGCTAAGTAACATCACCAGTGCCAGAAGAGGATGGGGTTTAACTCTCTTTTTAAATTTTGCTCTGTTCAGAGAGCAAGCCCCACTCCCTTCTAAGCACTGATGCTGTTCCCTAGTTTGGTCATGAAACGTCTGCAAGAAAACATCCCAGCTCAGAGACCCCACAAGTTCAACCCTGAGCTCCAAATAGTCTCTTCTGTCCTTAACATTTATTTATTTGATCGTTCGGCCTATTTTGATTCCAAAAAAAAAGAAAAGAAAAAAGGCCATTTCAAGGAGTGACTCCTGGTGTTCTCCCTTCCAGAATCGACCTTGCGGTGCTCTTAGGAAAGACACCTTCCTCGCTAGAGAACGAATCGGCCAACTTGGATTCCTCCAAAGCGCCAACTCTCAACCAGCCCCTGGTCTTCAGCAATTCGAAGCAAACCACCATCTCCCAGTCGGGTTCGGCGAACACCTTCTCCCACCACGGCATGGTAAGGAAATGGCCTGGGTCCCCTTTCTAGCTCCCTGAACCAGCCTTCCCAATAAAATAAAATCTAAAGAGGAAAATCGGAAATCCTCCAGAACTTCAAACTCTTTCTCCGTGGTTTAGGGAGCGTTCCCGACCTCTGAAGCTGGAGAGGATCTTGATGGGGTGTTTTTTTAAAAAAATTTGATTTCTTGGAAAGAACTGGTGTCTTTTTGAGTTGAGAAATTTCATTCTCCGTGCCCGTTTTTTTGCATTAAAAGCTGGCTCCGACGATGCAGTTATAATTGCATTGGTGTAAATGGCTAGTCTGAATGTGTGTTGTCACCGGGGGTGTTATTTATTATTTTTCTTCCTATTATTTTTATTTCTTTTACATGCTTTTTTTTAATATCCTTGTGAGCCGCCTTGAGTCACCTTGTGTGCGAGTAGGCAGCAGTATAATTTTTTTGAAATAGATAAATATATATTTAAAGATACAACTAGGCTGGAACGCCCAGATTTGAGACCCATATGACAGGGTGAGCTCCCAATCGGTTGTGGTTCGCCGGCGGCAGGTACAGACAGCCGAGGTCTCGGAGAGCGAGGCCTCAGGTGAGCGGCCTGTGTGTGATGCAGAGTTGGGACCAGGACCGTCGGGGAGTGAAGTGCTGCCTTTGGAGATTGTGGAAGCTGGCAGCAGTGAGGAAGAGGACCCCGAGGAGCCTGTGCCCAGCACGTGTGCGCGCAGGGCTGCTCGAAGGAAAGAGCAGATGCAGCAGCACGGGCGATTCGGGAGTAAGTCTGCAAGCCTCTCCGTTAAGGGATAAAAGCCAGCTGAGAACCCGGAGCTCTTTGCAGGAAGCAAAGAAGTTTTTTTGCACTCAAATCTTGTGGACGTTTGGAATATCTTGGTTGGTGTTTAGAGACTCTTTTGTGTTTGAACTATTTCTTGGCAACTTTATCTAGTGTTCTTGGCAGCCTTGCACCACCTTGGCAAGGCTCGTGCTTGTCGTGTTTATTGGAAACAGCCTTTTAACCGTGAATTGACGGGATTTGCAGAGAAGCATTAAAAGGTTCTGCTTTTTATCTCCGTTTTTGCGTTTGTTTCCTTGGAACGAGGTTTGCGTCAGAACACAAATCTCCCTTCAGCTCCTGCCAAACTAGGAGATTGAAAGCATGTAGATACAAGTAGATAAATAGGTACCACGTCAGTGAGAAGCGAACCGCACTCCCTGGCGTCATGCTGGCCACATGACTGGGGAAATACCTTCGGACAGTGGTGGCTCGGGGCTGTTTAAATGGAGATGAGCCTCCCCCCCCTCTAGAATCTGCAAAAACCAGCGGAATAAAATCCTTTATTATTATTATTATTATTATTATTATTATTATTATTATTATTTAAAGTCTCCTCTGATGGGGCTGTTTTGAGAATCCGCCCATATTGTGGCTGTGCTGTCCTTTTTTTCCCCCCCGCTTCAGGTCGGTGTGCTCGGAAAGGGCTTCAGCGAAGTGGGGGAGGGGAAGAGCGGCGGCGGCGGCAGCGCCACCACCACCACCACGACCGGCTCTCAATTCCTGGAGCAGTTCAAGACCGCCCAAGCCCTGGCTCAGCTGGCGGCCCAACACCCCCAGCCGTCCGGAAGCAGCAACGCGGCCTCCTCGTGGGATATCGGCAGCGCGAGCCAACCCTCCTCCCTTGTGCAGTATGGTAAGATGCTCCAGCTGCAGGGGGGGTTGGGGGGGGGCATAAGAGAAGACCTGCAATGGGATGTGGGAAAGCCTCGGGAGACGAGGAGGGGCCGGTCAGAGAAGAGACCGCCCAGCCCTCCGCTAAACAACGGGGTGGAATAACTGGATCAGAAGGAACCCTCCCTAGTTTCTGAAGTCGTATAGGAGACAGCGGGAATTTTGTACTTTCAGACTTGCACAGTTCCGTCGGTGTAGCTCTAGAGTTTGGAGAACAATCAGATAAGGGAGGGCATAGCCCAGAGCTACAGATAACGGGAGGGAAAAAAGGGGATCAGAAGGAACCCTCCCTAGTTTTTCAAGTTGTATAGGAGGCGGCGGGAATTTTGTACTTTGAGACTCGTGAGCTTCTGGGAGTGTGAACCTTTCCGTGAAGTAGAATTAGCGAATGGCCTTGGGGAATGGCATGAAAAAAACAATGCTGCCTAGGGAACCCTTGGATAAAAGGCAGCTGAGCCCCCCCCCGCCCCCCCTCCAAATCTGTATAACCTGCAGAGCCAAAACCAAAACAGAAACCCTCCCTGGTTTCTCAGGCTGTCAAAGAGACAAGCGGGAGAGCTGCCCTTTCCCGCCTTGCAGACTTCCGGCCAAGTTAAACCTTGTGTGAAAGTAGAATTTGAATTCGTCTCTGGGGACGAACGGGCTGGTAGGGAGATGGGCTGCCTAGGGAACAGTCAGGTAAGAGGCTGCTGAGCCCCCGGCCGCCTAACAGGTAGAGAAAGAAGCACGGGAAGAAGGAACCCTCCCTAGTTTTGTCAGGCTGTAAAAAAAAAAAAAAGACGGCGGGAGATTTGACGTTTTCAAGCCTCTGGCCAGGTAGCCTAACAAGCAAGTAGAATTAATTCGTGTGTGTGGGTCTACCTTGCAGGGCTGACAGAGGCGGGGGGGGGGGGGGGGGGGGGGGGTTGTAATAAGTTGCTCAGGGCTGGCTTGGGTCCTACCTGTCCAGTGTCGGCACACAAGAACCTGCTCTACAGCACACACACACAAACACACACACACCATCCAAGGAACCTGTTTTCTTCACCTTCCGTGCAAAGAGGGACACTGTGCCAACTTACTCTCTGTCTCTGTGTGTGTGTGTCTCTCTCTCTGTCTTTCTCTCTTTCTCTCTCTCTCTCTTTCTCTCTCTCTCTCTCTCTCTCTCTCTCTCTCTATCTATCTGTCTTTCTCTGCTCTCTCTCTTTCTGTCTTTGCTCTCTCTCTCTCTCTCTCTCTCTCTCTTTCTCTGCTCTCTCTCTCTCTCTCTCTCTCTCTCTGTCTCTTGGTGGCCCGCAGATCTAAAGAACCCCTCGGAACCGGCGGTGCATACCCCCTTCACCAAACGGCAGGCCTTCGCCCCCACCTCCACCATGATGGAAGTGTTCCTCCAGGAAAAGCAACCGGTGGCAACGGCCTCCTCCGTTTCGGCTCCGCCGCCTCCGTCCTCCCCCCCTCGCCACCAAAACCAACCCGGCCTCCCAGATGTCCCCGGATTCCTCCAGCCCTCAGCCAGCCCAGCAGAAATTAAAACAACAGAAAAAGAAGGCCTCCTTGACATCCAAGGTGAGAGAGAGCAAGAAAGAAAGAAGGAGGGGGTGGGGGCAGGGGGTCTCTTTGAAATTGGACCCGTGGTCCCCCCCTTTTTGGGGTGTATGGAGATGGCATGAGCCCCGAAATCCTGGTCTCAGGCTGGCTAACTAGGACACTACGTGGGGTTCCCCTAAAAGACAGCAACGTCTGACACCTCTTCCAAAGCTGTTGAGAGAGGCTGCTCTAGGCTGAGGGGCCCCTACCTGAAATCCAAGGGCCACAGCCATGCTTGCCCCCCCCCCAGTGGCCCTTTAACAACTGACAACCTTTACACAGCTGAAGGGGGGGTGAGGAACAGGGAAAACGGTGCAGTGAATCCAATCCAAGCGGAGTTCTTGCTTTTTTGCCAAAGCGAAAAAGCTTTGGGAGCGTTCCCCAGCGTGCTTGATTTGGATCGGTCCAGCCTGAGCTCGCCCGCATGCCAGTAGACCCTTTGGGGCTCGCCCGTAGCCTCAAACGGGGGGACAGTGCATGCCACAGCAAACGCCAGGATCACGGGTGACCTCGCTGTTGCAGCCGTACAGCTGCCCGGGATGCCTGGAACAAACCTGTCCTTGTCGGTGCCACAATTCTGCAGCGTTTCGAAGGTTGAGAAGAGAGAGATGGGATAGAGACAAATATTATTGTTACCTTTATTGTCAAGAGCATAACGTGTGTACAATGAGATGGGCAGAGCCTCCCTCCGTGCATCCACACACACACACCCCAACACAACTCACAGTGAGGACAGAAGTCCCTAATCCAATCCCAGTCTTATTACACAATGTGACCTTGTTGCACAACCTTGTGGCACAACACCGCCAGCCCCGCAAGTCTTATCCTACTAGGTTGACGTGAAGTTATTCTCCATTCATGAGTCCAACAGCCCACGGGCAGAAACTGTTCTTCAGCCTGTTGGTGCTTCCATACCTCCTGCCCGACGGCAGGAGAGTGAAGAAGGGCTAACCAGGGTGTGAGTCGTCCTGAGGATTTTCCTCACTCTTCTAAGGCAGCGAGCCCTAGCAAGGTCATCTAGTGGTGTCAGGGAACAGCCCACAGTGTGTTTGTGCTGAGCTCAGATAGAATAGGTAGGTAAGTAGGTGGGTGGATGGATGGATAGATAAATAGGTAGGTAGGTAGATAGATAGGGATGGATGGATGGATGGATGGAGGGGGATGTGTGTATAGGTAGGTAGGTAGGTAGGTAGGTAGATAGATAGATATGGATGGGGATGTATAGATAGATAGATAGATAGATAGATAGATAGATAGATAGATAGATAGATAGATAGATAGATAGATAGATAGATAGATAGATATGGATGGGGATGTATAGATAGATAGATAGATAGATAGATAGATAGATAGATAGATAGATAGATAGATAGATAGATATGGATGGGGATGTATGTATGTATGTATGGATAGATAGATATAGGATAGATAGATAGATAGATAGATAGATAGATAGATAGATAGATAGCCAGTTCTAGAACCACAAAATGAACCTCATCAGCCAAAACCCAAAAAAACCCCCCAGCCTTCCCGTCTCAACTCCACCCATCTCGTCCTCAGATTCCAGCTCTGGCGGTGGAGATGCCCGGTTCGGCGGACATTTCGGGACTCAACTTGCAATTCGGGGCCTTGCAGTTTGGTTCGGAGCCCGTCCTCTCCGAGTACGAAGCCCCCCCTGCTACGAGCACCGCGGCCAGCCAGCCTCCCAACAGCCTCTACACAAGCACGGCCAGGTGAAACCCCACAAACCGTTCACAACGAAGGGCTCGGCGGCGCTGTAGGTATCGGTTAGGTAGGATCGAGGTTCAGGCGCAGATGAGGCTTCTAATGTTTTTCTTCTTCTTTAAATAGATACTTATTTTATTCGAAATGAGATTAAAGTACAAAGTGCAGAACTCCCCCCACCCAACCCCCCCAAAAAAAGAAATTCAAAGGAGAGAAAAATAAAAATAAAACTCAAAACAATAAAAATAAAATAAAACCAACGTAGAAACATTTCCTTGGGCAGATGTGAAATTCACCCGCAGCCCAATAGCGTTGATTTGCTCCTAGGATTCCCAAGTCCTCTGATCTTTCTGGGTTAGTGATCTAGCCAGATCTGGTTCTCTTCCCTTCTGGGATCCTCCCTCCGATTCTCCTCCACTCACGTTGTGTTTCTTCTCCCTTCCCAGCGAGTCTCTGTCCACGATTTCCTCCAACAAGAGTCAGGATTCGGCGTTCCCGAGTGGCACCATGCCTACAGCAACGTATACCTCCCAGAACAGTGCTCAGGGACCACTGTACGAGCAGAGATCCACCCAGACCCGGCGGTACCCCAACTCCATTTCATCCTCGCCCCAAAAAGACTTAAGCCAGGCCAAGGTAGGCTGGATCTGTTCTTGGGCAGCGCCAGACTCACACGAGCTTATCCTTGGGAGGGAGAAAATCCAGACAAAGGCAGCTGGTTTGGTCAGCGGTTAATAGGTTGGTCTAGAAACCAGGAGACGGGGAGTTCTAGTCCCGCCTTAGGTATCAAAGCAAGTAAGGTGACTTTGGGCCAATCACCAGGAGACTGAGAGTTCTAGTTCCACTTTAAGCAGGAAAGCCAACTGGGTGACTTTGGGCCCATCACCAGGAGACGGGGAGTTCTAGTCCCGCCTTAGGCATGAAAGCCAGATGTGAGCCTTCCAACCTGTTCCTTTCTCTCAGCCTAACCCACCTTGCAAGATTTTTGTGGGGAAAATAGGAGGAAAGAGATATTCGGTAACGTTCACCCCCTTACGTTACCTGTCAAATTTTAAAGGCGGGATAAAAATGTGTCTATACATATATATATTTATATATCCTCGTCCTTTTTCTCTAGAATGGCTTCAGCTCAGTGCCACCTACGCAGTTGCAAACCACCCAGGCAACTGAAGGTAAACCCCCTTTCTTGGGCATGTGAGGGGTGGGCAGGTATCATGGTATTCTTTCCCCCTCACCCCCCCCCCTCACCTGCCCTGAATTTGTCACTTGGGCGCACCAGAAGTGCCGTCGCCGAGTCCAGCGTCGTATGCAGACTGGGAAAGTGTGAGGTGCCTGTTAGCACCTCTGTGGCTCAGGGCAAGATCCCTCTTATTTCCTTGCCGACACCGCCCCCCCGTCCCCTGGAATTCTTTCCCAGGATTTTGGGGAGTCCGCTCCCCTGCTAACTAGGACTGGTGACAGTTGGGCACTGAACCTGGGAATCCTTAAACTGCCCCTTTGGATCACTTGGGGCGGGGGGGTGGGGCTGTGTGTTTGCCACCCCGCAACACCCCTAGAAGGGGATCGGCGTGAGGGCAGCAAGCGTGGTGTCCGTGAAGACCATCTACTTGGGTTGTTTGTCTCAACCTCAGCCGTTTTAAGATGCGTGGACTTCAACGCCCAGAATTCCTCAGGAGTTCTCACCTCTTCCAAGCAGAGGAACCCTTTTAAAGAGCCCCCTCGCCCACAAAACCTCCATCAGCACACAGGGGACCCAAAGAAAAACGCCCCCTCCTGCCGTTAGCAAACCCACAAAATAGTCCTGGTTGCTCTTGACTGCCCTTGTTCCAGTTTGCCGCTCAAGCCGTCTGCCTCTTCCACCTCCCTCCCTTCCTTTCTCTCCCGATTCTCTCTGACTCTACCTCCCCTTGTCGTCCCCACACCAGGTTCCACTGGGTCTGCAGTAAAATCCGACTCCCCTTCAGCCCCCAGCATCCCGGCCCCTCTGACCGACGCCGTGTCGGCGGCCTCCCTGCTGACCACGGCTACCCAGCATTCCTCGGTGCTCAGCAGCCTGAATCACGCCGAGGAGCTCTCCAGCACGGCCGCCACGCAACACAGCAGGTACCAGCGAGATTGCGGGGGGGAGGGGGGGGCACTGCCGGTGGGGGCTCCACCTTCCATTCCTTTTTACCCATTGAGCCCCTTCCCCCCACTCTCTTACTTTGAGTCTTCGCTGCTACTGCCCCCCCACCCCAAATCCTCCAGCTGCTGAAGTCCAAAACCAAAAAAAACCCCACACAAACAAACTATCAAGCCTGCTTGGAAAGAGTAAATGTTAGAGCAGAACCCCTTGGTCACATGTGGGATCCAAATCCAGCCTGACTCGTATTTACAACGGTGGGAGCATCCCGGGGTTCAGCGATTTCTCTTTCGCGGCCTTCTGTCCCGCCAAGTCAAAGGGGGAAGCCGCGATTCGCTTCCCAAAGGCGAGGAAAGTCATAAAACGGGCGCGAAGCTCCCTTAAATGTCCCCCCTTTTAAGCAACGGAACGTATGGGCTCCTTTGTCGACGTAAGCCGAGGACTTGACCACCTGTGTTTCCCAAGGATGGGCCGGTCCAAATTGTAGCATATCCACAGCACAGCGACGACAACAAGAAGAGACGGGCTTTAGTTTGATTTCACCTGTGTCAGAGTAAAACCGAGTTGACTTACGATTTGTGAACCTGGAAGAAGGAAAGGAAAAGAAAAAAAAAGGATTCTTAAATGTTGGTTTACCAGCCTTTTTGTTTCTTTCCACAGTACCTTACCTGCCCAACAGAACAGCCTCTCTTCCTCAACTTCCTCCAGTCGCACGTCAACTTCAACTCTCTTGGTGAGTGGGGATCCAGACGTGGGACGAGGGAGAAATACCTGAGGAATAATAAATACCTGAGAAACAGGGCCCTCCCCCCCTTCTCTCTCAGCTTGGAAGCATCTCCACCCTCCAGCCTGTAACTAGCCAGGAGCGGCAAGCCACCACATCAAATCCCAAGAGTCAGAAATGGTGTTAGGGTAGGGGGTTGGACTGGATGACCTACAAGGTCCCTTCCAACTCTGGTTATCTCTTCTCCGAAGCCCCATTAGAATCTCCAGAATTGGCCAAGGTGGATTGAACTAATAGGACATTTGTAGCTCGGGATGTTTGGGTTTTCTGGGTGTTCTGTGAGCTGGATTGTTGCAGGCGTTTCACGACCCAGCTTGGTAACGTCATCGGTACTAGAAGGAAGAAGGGGTGTGTGTGGAATGGAAGGGAATGAGAATAAGGAAGAGAAAGGAGGAGGATGACGCTGGGGTTCGTGATGCTCTCTGAGCGTGGCGGTTCTCTCGCAGACGTTTCAGGGCCCAACTAGGTAACGTCATCAGTGCCGACGAGGGCGCAGTCTGGTCTCTTGTTTATATGCAACAGCTTGCCCTGCCAGCGTTTGGGGCTTGGTGGTCCCCTCGACTGGAGTTTTCTTTCCTGCTTGATGGTTTCCCTGGTGTTCGTCCCTGCTTATCTGGGTGCTGACAAAAGAGAGGTCTGATGACGTTACCTAGTTGGGTCGTGAAACGTCCGCAAGGAAAAAAAACACAAGCGCGGGCGGCAGCGGACTGTCCTCCTTCGGCGTGCCCATTTCTGAAGGTCCCCCCTGACCCCCGTTTGCTTTCTCTCCCGTCGCCTCCCCTCTCCCCCTCCCTCCTGCAGCACACCAGCATAGAGAGCGAAGCCGCGCTCCACTCTTCTACAAGCACTTTCTCCACGGCCTCCAGTACCGTCTCGGCCGCACCGCCGGTGGTCAGCGCCCCCTCGAGCCTGAGCAGCGTCAGCAGCCTGGGCCTGAGCCTCAGTAATAACTCCACCGTGACGGCCACCACGCGCAACTCCATAGCCACGACGTCAGGTGCCTCCTCCGGGGGGACCCGGGTTGGGTTGGGGACGGTTTGGAGGGTCCATCTGTGGGGTTGGGGGAGGATTTCAGGGTGGAGAGGAGCCCCTGGAAGGAAGGCAGGTCAGAAAAGGAAGAGAGGCCATGCGGGGTTCTCGGAGCGGAGCGTCTCGTAGCAGAAGCAGGAAAGCCGGAGAGAAATTTCTCTCTGCTCCGTCGGGGTCTGTCTTGAGTCTCTTTCTCATCCTTTCCACTTTCCCGGGATGGAATTAACTCTCTTTTCTCTTCCTCCTTTTCCTTTTCCTTCTCACCTTCGTCATTTCTTTCTCTTCCTCATTTCTCTCCTCCTTTTTCTTCTCCATCTTCATAATTTCCATCTCCTCTTTATCCCTCCTCCTCCTCCTCCTCTTCTTCCTACTCCTCTTCCTCCTCCTCCTCTTCTTCCTCTTCCTGTTATTCTTCTCCTCCTCCCTTCTTCCTTCTTCTTTCCTCCTCCTCCTCCTCCTCCTCCTCCTCCTCCTCTTCCTCTTCCTATTATTTTTCTCCTTCTTCCTTCTTCTTTCCTTCCTTCCTTCCTTCCTCCTCCTCTTCCTCCTCCTCCTCCTCCTCCTCCTCCTCCTCCTCCTCCTCCTCCTCCTCCTCCTTCTTCTTCTTCCCCCACCTCCTCCTCTTCTCCCTTCTCCTCCTCCTCCACCTTCTCCTCTTCTCCTCCTCTTCTCCCTTCCTTCTCCTCCTCCTCCCCTCCTTGTCCTCCTTTCTTCTTCCCCCACCTCCTCTTCTCCCTTCTCCTCTCCTCCTCCTCTTCTCCCCTCCTTCTCCTCCTCCTCCCTTCCTTCTTTCCTTTCTCCTCCTCCTCTTCCTCCTCCTCTTCTTCCTCTTCCTCTTCCTCCTCTTCCTCTTCCTGTTCTTCTCCTCCCTTCTTTCCTTCCTCCTCCTCCTCCTTCTCCTCCTCCACCTTCTTCTCTCTTACAGGAAAGGCTCCCCCCAACCTGCCTCCCGGCGTGCCCCCGTTGTTGCCGAACCCGTACATCATGGCTCCGGGACTGTTGCACGCCTACCCGGTGAGTCGGGCCCCCACCGGGCCATTCCCCCCACCTCACCGAAGCCACGCCAGTAGATCCCGCTCCCCTCTTCCCCAGTAGAGGAGCGGGAGGAACAGCGCGTGGGAGAACAACCCCGAGCAGCACCGGATGTGGTTGACGCAGCCCCTCAAACACTGCCTGAACTCACAACAACTGTCTCGGACACCCGTTGGCAAGAAAAAGAATATAGATTTAGATATAGATATAGATGGATGGATGCAAATGACGAGGCCGGGATTCTCTCCCTCATTGGGCAGAGAAAATCGAGATTATTCCTCCACCCACCTGTAAATCAGACAATCTTGTTGCCGTTAACACAACAGTTAAAATAAGTGTTCTTCCCTGGGATTTTAGGAACGAGTGCGTGTCCGGGGTGAATTTTTAGCTCGCTTCGTTCCCGCTCCGATTACAGAATCCCGCTACTTAACCTGTAAACAACGTGACACCAAGGATGGTATTTTATTTAGAATTAAAAACAACATGAAAGCGTTTTAAAAAAACCCCATAAAAACAACATAAAGCACCAAGCATGTTCTTTTATGTGGAGTTAAGCCGTGTTAACCCCGCAGTTAAATAAAAATTGAACATTCCCCGTGTGGTCGGAAACAATCCGCCTCCCTAAAATTTGAGACGTATCCGCATCCCTCGCTTTGAGGCTTCGATAGTCAACAATGTGAGGGGGAAAAGGATGTAGAGTGAAAGGTTTTTGTTTTTTTCCCTCACTTCTGCCTTTGTGGAATTTACACATTCTGAAAATCCCTTTTCCTCGATAACATTTACGCCTTACGGTGCCAGTCTTAAGCGGAACAGATTCGGCTTGTAGTTTTATTTTTAAGGCAGGCATTTCTCACAGCATATGGGCCACTATATAAATACCTCGGTGTAAATTAAAGCCACCCAGATCCCTAAATCTGTCTCTTTGAAATCCTAGTCGGGGCATCCCAAAATAATAACAATAATCTCATTTGAAACGTTTTGGAGAATTCCTCACTTCTGCCTCTCTCTCAACTTCTTTGTAACTCACTCGGTTTCTATTTGCAGCCACAAGTTTACGGCTACGATGACTTACAGATGCTTCAGACAAGGTTCCCCTTGGTGAGTTCCAGCCAGCCTTCCCCAACAGGCTAGTCCTCGACCTACGACCACCATGGAGCATTTCCGTTGCTAAGGGGGACGCGATGAACCTTTGCCCCGTTTGACGGACTTCTTTTGCCACCGTTGTTCCGTGAATCAACCGCGCTTGTGAATTAGGCTTCCCAACGGACCGCTTGTCAGAAGGTCTCCAAAGGGGATCACGGGAATGCTGCGACCGTCATAAATACGAGTCGCCAAGTTGACTGAATCTTGATCGGGTGAACTCTGGGGTTGCCTCACAAGTCCCAACTGTGAAAAGCGGCCCCAAGTGCCTTTTTAAAGGGCTGTTGTAAGGTCACTAAATGAAGCGTTGTAAATTAGCTGCGAGGATTCTCTTTAAAGGGGGGAAAAATATCTAAATTTGGTATCTTTTTTCCTCCTACTTTTATTGTAAAATCTGCAAACGTCATGAGGCGTCCCCTTCCTCACCTCTCCTCCCTCCCTCCCTTCCTTCCAGGATTACTACAGTATCCCCTTCCCCACACCAACCACCCCGCTGACCGGAAGAGACGCCACCTTGAACAGCAATCCGTATTCTGGTAAGAGGAGTGGAGACCACCAAGGGAGCGAGATTCCTTCCGGGGCAAACAGACGACAGATCAGATCTTTCGCCTGGTTCAGCTCTTGCCATCCGGCACAACACACACGGCACGGATTTGCGACACCCGGGACAGCCCCCCCCCCCCGCCTTAACCCCACGGTCCCCCTCTTTCCTCTTCCAGGTGATCTCACGAAATTTGGCCGAGGCGATGCCTCTTCCCCCGCGCCGGCGACCACGCTGGCCCAGCCTCAACAGAACCAGACCCAAACGCATCACACCACCCAACAGACGTTCCTCAACCCGGCCTTACCGCCCGGCTACAGTTACACCAGCCTGCCCTACTACACCGGGGTTCCTGGGCTGCCCAGCACCTTTCAGTACGGGCCCGCTGTCTTTCCCGTGAGTGTGCTGTGGGATTAAGGGGGATGTGAGCCCCCTTCCTGCCTCTCCCCCTTCCCTTCCTCCTTCCCTCTTCCCCAGCTCATATTCTCTCTCTCTCTCTCTCTCTCTCTCTTATCTATCTAATCTATCTCTAATCTATCCATTCATCCATTCCCTTTCACACATCTCCCTCTATATTCTTTCTCTCTATCCCTATCCATCTCTTCTCTGTCTGTCTGTCTGTCTGCCTGCCTGCCTATCTATCTATCTATCTATCTATCTATCTATCTATCTATCTATCTATCTATCTATCTATCTATCTATCTAATCTGTCCATACATCCATCCATTCGCTTTCACACATCTTCCTCTCTATTCTTTCTCTCTGTCCCTATCCATCTCTTTATCTGTCTGTCTGTCTATCTATCTATCTATCTATCTATCTATCTATCTATCTATCTATCTAATCTGTCCATCCATCCATCCATTCCCTTTCACACATCTCCCTCTCTTATTCTTTCTCTTTATCTCTTTCCATCTCTTCTTTATCTATCTGTCTGTCTATCTACCTATCTACCTACCTACCTACCTACCTAATCTGTCCATCCATTCCCTTTCACACATCTCCCTCTCTGTTCTTTTTCTCTGTCCCTACCCATTTCTTCTTTATCTATCTGTCTGTCTATCTATCTTCCATCTATCTGCTTTCCCCCCCAGGTCGCCCCTACTTCTTCCAAACAGCACAGTGTCAACGTCAGCGTGAATGCCTCGGCCGCCCCATTTCAGCAAGCCAGTGGTTATGGGTCCCACGGATATAGCACGGGTAAGGAGGTTTTAAAGCGGGCAGGGGGCTTCGGTTTTCAAGGAACTGAAGCCAGTTCGCGCTTTTTGATGCTTTCGGGGGTCCGTTCAGGTGGCCGCTTCCTAAATTCTGTATCGGTAGTTCTTGGCTCAACGACCGTGATTGAGGCCTAAAATTTATCTTCCAAAAAGCGAGGCTGTCAGGATTCTGGCAGTTGCTCCCAATTAAATCCTGAGTTTCAAGCCAAACTTCCAAAACTTCAAAAGGATTTATTGGGAGTTAACATGTCCGGCACCACCTGGGTGTAGTGGACTCTGAGACACCTCATTCACTGTCCCCGTTGACCCCGATTTCCCCCCTTCCCCCCCCCTGAGTGTATCCTAATTCATATTCTCCAATGGGACACATCCATAGCCCAGAGTCATCCATCATATTCTCCAATTAGAACGTTTTAAAACTTCAGTCACCTGGTTACTATCTCTGAGAAACCATTTATGGAATGCACTTTCGATTTCCAAGCTGCCGCACTGCTCTTTCAACCCCCTTTCTCCCCCTCCCTTTCTGTTGGCAACCCCAAAAAAGACCCTAGAAATATTTTAGGAGTTGTCAAGAGGCGGTGGTTCAGTGAATTTTGGCCCCGCTTTATGACCTTCCCGGCTGCCATCACTAAGTGAATCATTGCAGTTCTCAAGCTAGTAACGGGGGCATTAAAGCGAATCCAGCTTGGGCTCGTCCGAAGGGGATTGCGTGACCCAGGGACACGTCAACCGTCATAAATATGAGACAGTCGCCCCGCGCCTGTATTTTGATCTCGTGACCCACAGGGAGGCCGCAAAGGTCATAACTCTGAAAAAAACAGTCCCGTTTTCCCATCCTGAGGTAACTTAGAACGGTTGCAAGTCGAGCTTGCGCTTCCGATTCCACGGAGGTGTCAGTCAGGGTCTCCGACTTGAATCCCCAAAAAGCTTCCAGGTGCAGGGGCAGCCTACCCGTTGAAACCTGGGACGAGCTCGCCCGAGACCGTAGACCTCTCCGTTGCTGCTTTTGTGAGAGGTCTCCCAGACTGCCTACAAAATTAAAGAGGTTTACAGACGATTCCTATTGGCTGCACAAGATTCTAACCCCCCCCCCAAGTGCGTTTTAGATGCTTAATTCTGATTGATTAATTAATTAAGATGGCTAATTTGGCTCCTTTTTCTCCAGGAGTTTCCGTAACATCCAGTAACACAGGAGTGCCTGATATCTCTGGCTCTGTCTATTCTAAAACGCAGGTTGGTAGCCGTGAAGAATTCGCATGGCCTGGAAGACAATAAAAAGATTATAGGGATAAGAGCCAGTCTGGCCTAGTGGTTAAGGTTTTGGACTAGAAACCAGGAGGCACTGAGTTCTAGTTCTGCCTTAAGCATGGCATTCGGCTGCACGACTTTGGGCCAATCACCAGGAGACGGGGAGTTCTAGTCCCGCCTTAGGCATGAAAGCCAGCTGGGTGACTTTGGGCCAATCACCAGGAGACTGGGAGTTCTAGTCCCGCCTTAGGCATGAAAGCCAACTGGGTGACTTTGGGCCAATCACCAGGAGACGGGGAGTTCTAGTCCCGCCTTAGGCATAGAAAAGCCATCTCAGCGACTGGGCTGGGGAATTCTGGGAGTTGAAGTCCACGAGTTGTCCAGTTTGGGGCCAGAGAGCGTGTGAGCCGCCCTGTACCCCAAATCAACCCCCCCACCACCACCCCGTTTTCCTTTCTTCTGCAGCAGTCCTTTGAGAAGCAGGGATTCCACACCGGGACGCCCGCCGCCTCCTTCAACTTGCCGTCGGCGCTGGGCAGCGGGGGCCCCATCAACCCTGCCACAGCTGCGGCCTACCCCCCGGCTCCCTTCATGCACATCCTGACCCCCCACCAACAACCTCATTCCCAAATCTTGCATCACCATTTGCAGCAAGACGGGCAGGTAAGGAGGGGATCTGCACCTGAGATGGACTCGTCACCGGCTCCCACCTGTGAACCCAGAACTGTCTATAGGCTGGCACTGTGCCTGCCTGCCTACGTACCTGTCCTCTAGGTATCTGATCTATCATCCATCAGTCGGCTTGCCTGTCTGTCTATGTAACCTGCCTGTCTCTCTCTTTCTCTCCGTGTGGGTGTGCGTATGTATTGTGTACCTACCTGCCTGTTTATCATCCCTGTCTGTCTATCATCTATCTCTATTGTCCTTCTAACCTGACCTATCTATCTATCTATCTATCTATCTATCTATCTATCTATCTATCTATCTATCTATCTATCTAATCTGTCCATCTCTCCATCCATCCATCCATCCATCCATCCATCCATCCATCTATCTTATCTGTGTATATTTATATCATCTGTATCTCAGATTATCTAAGATATCTATTTCTACCTATATCATCTATCTCAGATATCTCTGTTTCTAACCACCTCTATAAATCTCTCTATATCTATATAACTCTCTCTCTCTCCCTCTCTGTCTCTCTCTCCTTCTGTCTTTCCTACCTACCTACCCACCTATCATTCTAAATCTACCTGTCTTTTATCATCTGTCTGTCTGTCAAAGCCTATTGGTCCACCCATTTCACCCTAGGTTAAGTCTGGGAAGCTTACGATATATTTTTTTTTTAAAAAAAACTATATATAAATACTACAAAAACTAGAAAAAAACGCCTGTCTTAACGTTCCCATCCTTATAATGTCCTCTTTTCGTATGGGATTGTAAAACTTTCCAGAGCCGCTGGATGCAAGAATTTAACCAATATGTTCCCCCCACCCCCCTCGATTCTGGAATTCGCGGCTTGACTCGCTCCGGAGTGTGGAAGGGGATGTGGGGGAGGTCAGAGGCGCTATTGGCCTGACCCTCAACCCCTTTTCTTCCGTTTCCCCCCCCCCCTCTTTTTTTCCCCCCCCCCCCCCCCTCCCCTTGCAGAGTAGCACCGGCCAGCGCAGCCAAGGCAGTTCCATCCCGCAGAAATCGCAGGCTAACAAGTCAGCCTACAACAGCTACAACTGGGGTGCCAACTGAGGGCGCCCCCCCCCCCTCTCTCCCTTCCCTTCCTCATTCTCCCCACGCCAGAAGCAGCAGCGGCAGCGGCAGCAGCAGCGACACTTCAACCAAGAGACCGGCAGAAGAAGAACGACAAGAGACCCCTCCAAAAAGAAGAAGGAACGAGCCCCCTGCCCCTCCCTCCACCCCCCCCCCCCCCCCCCCCGGGGAGTGCCCCCCCCCCCCCCCCCCCCCCCCCCCCCGCCCCCGGGCACGGCCTAGCAAAGCCTTGGGAGGCGGCCTTGCACCAGGCCAGAACGTTCCTCCCTCTTTCCTCCCCTCTTTCTTTTCATCCTCTTTTATCGTATGTAATATAGAATTTGTACCTTTTCTTTTTTCTCCTCTTTCTCTCTCTCTCTCTCTCTCTTTTTTCTCTCCCTCCCTTCCCTGCGTTCATTCAGAGAAAGCCGTTTTTAGGGGCCTTTTTGTGTTTTTTTGGTTTATTTTATTTTTATCCTTTTTTTTTCCCCCTTTCTGTTTTGTTTTCTACTCCTCGACTCGCCCCTCCCACCGCCTTGCCCACCGACACCCCCCCCCCCCAAAAATAAATAAATGAATTACTGCCCAGCTAATCCAAAGGAGGCAAACAGCTGGAATCCCCTCCCTGCCCTTCCCGCTTCCCTCCCCTCCTCTATTATTAGGAATAAGAGCAGTAATTGATCTGAACCGCGTTGTAAGATTAATTAGTTGAAGTGGTTTTTTTTGTACTGTGTTCTAAATTTAATGGATAAATGTGTCTTGTATATAAAAATGAAAACCCCATTCTGTTTTTCTGGACGTGCAGTGGATTTTTTTTGGAAGGGTGGTTGTTTCACACACACACACACACACACACACACACCCCTTCTCGGCCCATTCCAACTTTTGGGTCTTGAAACCAGAGGACAGTTCATTCCTTGATTGGCCATAGAACGTCTTGCTCGAATTAGCGACCATTTGAATTTACCACATACTTTTGGAGGTGTGTGGGGGGTGGGGAGGAATTTAAATCCTGGATTTTTAAAAGTTCTCTAACGGTTGTGTCCCACCCCGCCAATCTGCACGCAAAAGAAACGCGAAAGCGAGTCAGTCACATGATTTTACAAACCGTCACGGCATAACGAAGGTAAACGGCTGGCGTCCCAATTTGGTCCAGGATGGACCCGTCCCGGATCGGGCAGGGTTGGTGGGAAATTGTGTTTGTCCACAAAAAAAAGAGAAGACCAAGATGAAAATTGGGGGGCCATAATATTGATCCCAGGAGAGGAGAAAATTAGAAACACCAAACAGACCTTTGACCTTAAATTAAATGTTATACATAATTTGGGCAGAAGTTTATGGCAATTTTCTGATGGGGCACATACGATAAAACAATATTTGCTGAACGGCTTTAACAATACGAGAAAATTGGCCCTTTATAACGGGGATTTAACTAGACCGAGAACAAATCATCTATCTCTTTTTTAATCGGTTTTTGGAGAAGTTCTTGAAAATAATTTTTTAAAAAGGGGTTCCAATAGCAAATAATATGATTGCAATTGACACGAATTATGTGTAATTCACCAGATTGGAACTAAAAATACGGAACACAGAGGTTTTTAGAGGTTCGGATAAAAATTATTTTTTTAAGAAGTTCCTTTAGCAAATGGGAATGGAGGCTGTGCAGAAGCTTCTTTCCAATATTTTATTTTATTTTGAGTTTATAACTGAAAAAGGACAAAATCCTCTGATAGATAGATCTTAAATAATGGATTTTCAGCCAAATTCAGAATACCGTATTGACTGACAACTGAAATCAAGGCTTAACGGAGGCCCTCCCTTGGAGACTCGCCAGGAAATGCGGGAAAAATGGGTTTGTTTTTTAAAAGGTTTATTTTTAAGTTTGCTTTTTTTTTTCCTGACACAACAGTGTATAAAAGACAAATCTAGAGCAGCGGGATTAGCGGCTTCAATTGGCGCGGACTTCAACTCCCAGAGTTCCTCAGCTCGCTTTGCTTCGCCGGCTTTGCTTGAACTTCGCCGGCTGAAGGATCCTGGGAGTTGAAGTCTCCCAGAGGGAGAAACGTCGCTTCGAGAGTGACGTTTGGCTCGAGCGGGACGATGTAAAAAAAGGGAGGCCTGCTTTACGGCGGAAGGGGCCTTTCGCGACGGGGTGGCGGAAGTGAAAGCTGTGCTGGGAGAGAGGGCGTCGCTTTACGGCCGCTCGGCGGAATGAGCGTTTTCGACCTTTTCCGAGGCTTTTTCGGCTTCCGGAGGTGAGACACGGGGGTCCCCTGGATGGGTCGGCCGCTCTGGGGGTCTGGGGCGCGGGGTGCTCCCCCTTTCCCGCCCCAGAAGCCTTCCAGGCGCCTGCGATGGGTTGAGCCCATTCCTGGCCTGTCGCTTTCCAGGGTGGGTTGGACCACCGACTCCATCATCCCCTGCCCCGGGAGGGGAGGGGGAGCTGTGGCCCGATCCATAGACGAGCCCCCCCCCCTTGTCTGGGAGGGATATATGTGTCGTGTGTATGTATATATATATTTGTGTATGTATGTATATGTGTGGTGTGTATGTATTTATATATATATATATATATATAAAGTTGTAGCAACTTTAAAAGCACAACTACAATGACGTGGGAAAATACCCGAACAAAGCTGAATGCCATACATACATACACACACACACACACACACGCACACACATACACATCACAAATATATATATATATATACATACACAAATACATACACATGTGTGTGTTTGTGTAATGTGTGTGCAATGTGTATATATGTGTGTTTGTGTATATGTGTTTGCATGTGTAATGTGTATGTCTCTGTGTGTGTGTATATGTGTGTGTATTTGCGTAATGTGTGTGTGTGTGTGTATATGTGTGTGTAGTGTGTCTAAATGTGTGCGGTTGTATGTGTAATGTGTATATATGTGTGTAATTTGTGTGTATATATGTTTGTGTAGTGTGTGTTTGTATGTGTAATGTGTGTGTGTGTGTGTATAACAAAAATTATATGTGTGTGTGTGTGTGTGTGTATCATTCCTCCCTTTAACCTTCACAACAACCTTGTGAGGTAGGCTGGGCCCAGACTAATCCCCAACACACACACACACACACCCCTGAGCTTCAGGATTTGAACCTGGGTCCTTCCTGGGTTGACACACACACACCCAGACCTCCTTGGAAATCAAATCCTTGTTTGCATTAGTTTTAGTCCATTTGGCCTCTTTTATTGTTTCTTTCTTTAAAAGTTCTGTGTAAAGAACGATACAGTGGGGATTTGGGGTACAATTCAAAGAATTTGATATAGATACATAGATATAGATGATAGATGGATGTTGGATGGATGGGAGAAAGAAGATAGACAGATGGATAGATAGATAGATAGATAAAGAGATGATAGATAAGTAGGTAGATAGACACAGAGATACATGATGATGGATGATAAATTATCAGTTTGATGGAGGATAGAAGGACAGATACAGATGATAGATGAATAGCAATAGATGACAGATAGATAGATAGATAGATAGATAGATAGATAGATAGATAGATAGATAGATAGATGAAAGAGAGATTATGTATAGAAGAGATAGATGATAAAGAAGGAAGGAAGGAAGAGAAAGAGAAAGAAGGCATGTAGACAGGAAGGAAGGAAAGAAAAGTAGATGGATTAGACAGACAGACAGACAAAAAGATGGATATCAGATATATGTTAGATGTATAGATAAATGACAGACATTATGTAAAAAGGCAGACAACTTGACATATAGATATAGATAGACATGAATGATAGGTAGATATCAATACCTATCTACCTCTACCATCTCTCTCTCTCTCTCTCTCTCAGGACCCCCGACCCCTTTTGGGGGAATTTCACCCGGGATGATGAGGACGATGAAGACGATGAGGACGATCTGGATTTTCAGGAAAACCAATTTTTCCCCGACGGCTTCAGTTTCGGCTTCACTTTTGAGCCAGGCGGGATTCACTTCCATGACCAATTCGGTTTCCAGGAGCTCTTCCGGGACTTTAACCACTTCTTCAATGACATCGGAACCCGGAGTCTGCCTCCCCCGTCCTTTGGTGGGTGCCCAGTTGGGATCTGGAGGGGTCCAGCGTTTTGAAGCCCTTCCTTCCTTCCTTCCTTCCTTCCTTCCTTCCTCCCTCCCTCCCTCCCTCCCTCCCTCCTTCCTTCCTTCCTTCCTTCCTTCCTTCCTTCCTTAGTTTGGTCTATTCCTTCCTACTTCCATTTCCTTCCTGTCTCTACTCTTCCCTTCCTCCCTGCTTCCTTTCTTTCTCTCTATTCCTTCCTCTCTCTATTCCTGACTTCCCACCCTCCCTGCTTCCTTCCTTTCCTTCCTTCCCTCTTTCTTACTTTCTCTCTTTATTCTTCCCTCTCCTTTCCTTCCCTCTCTGCTCCCCTTTCCTTTTTCCTCTCTTTTCCTTCCTTCCTTTCTCTATTCCTTCCTCCTTCCTTCTTTTCTTCCTTCCCTCTCTTCCTTCCATCCATCCATCCTTTCTTCTTCCTCCCTCCCTCCCTTCCTTCTATTTCTCCTCTTTTTCTTCCTTCTTTCCTTCCATTCCAACCCCCCCCCCATTTGCTTCTGAATATGAACTTCCAATTTTCCTTTTTTTACCCAGAATTCCCTCGTTTGGAATGCTGCCCGCCACCCTCCGCCCCTCCTGCTGACAAGGGACAGACCCTCCGCAATTCGATGCTGAAGTTCCCGGACAGCCCAAGGCCCAGCGCAGACGAGCGTCCGAACCCCCCCATTTCGGGGGGACGGCCTTGGGCCCCTTTCCAAGGGGTGCGTGGGGCTGTCGTGGGCTGCGGAGGGGAGGGAGAAACTGGCTCCTGCAAAGCCCCACTTGGACAGTCTCCATTTCCTTTAATTGTCCAAACACTCCCAAGAGGTTCAATATTTTATTTCATTTTTCTTAGCAATCTGATAATCTTTTTCCCCCCTCTCTCTTTCTTCTTTTTCTGCAGTTTCAAGAGAGCCAGTCGAATGACCCCGATCTGAAAAATTCTCGCAAAGAGGACGGAGGTTAGAGGCTGAATTTTAAGGGAAGATCTAATGATAACACCACCACCCCGGGGACAAATATTTGGGGCGTTTCAGGCTCTTGTGGGATTCAGAATGGAGAGCTTCTTCCGAATATTGGCAGTTCTTTATTTTAAAGCTCTTGATAGCCGATCAATCAAGTCCTTCGTTAGGTCCCATAGATCAGCACAAGAAAGTGGAAGACAAAGGTGCAAACTCGTAAAAGCGAAAATCTCCAAAGTGAAAACATTAAAAAAAAAACTATAGATACAGGCAGGCAGGCAGGCAGGCAGGTAGGTAGATAGATAAGAGATGTATATAAAATACATAAAGGTGTAGAAACATTTTAAAACTCTAATATATACATTAATTGAAAACAATCTAAAAACAAAACACATGACAAGGGAATATAATATATATATAATACCCGAAAATACCCGAACAAAGCTGAATACCATACATGTAAGTACCCGCGAAAACTTAAGAAAACAAATATATATATATATATACACACACACACATACATACACACACGCATACATATACATAGAAAGAAAGAAAAGAGAGAAAAAGACAGAAAAGAAAAAGAGAAAGAAAGAAGAGAGAAAGAAAAAGAAAAAAAAGAAAAGAAAAGAAGAAAGAAAAAGAAGAAAAGAAAGAAAAGAAAAAGAAAAAGAGAGAAAGAAAAAGAAAAGGAAAAAAAAAGCTAATATTGGGTTGCTTACACCTATTGTAATACAAACATTCTTAACCAAAATTGGTAAAATTTTGATGTGTGTATCGTCCCTGTCATTGTATTTTTTATTCTTTTATTCTTCTTGTTTTTGTTTTTGACGAATTCTAATAAATAAAACATTGGCCAGGCCTACCAAGCTACAGTACATCTTATCTGGTATGAAGGGGACTCTGGGACTCCCTGCCACCAGATACACTGCTGGCCACTTGACTGACGCAGGAGCTCAAAGAAATAAATATCTGGGGAAGGAATCTTCTCTTTGCAGCCAAACCTTTTAAAAATAACCCCATTTATGACTTCGGATTAATCATTAACCGTCCTTTTCTCACCTAATCTCACGCGGAGGGATAGATAAACGCTTTAGAACTAAATTGTCAACTCAAAAGTTACAACACCCTATTTATGCCTTTTTCCAAAGTGTTTTCGGGCAGCTCCACTCCCAAGTTTCTAGTCCTCATTGTTGCAGAACAAATGCAGAAGCTGCCTTTATTTTTATTTTTATTTTTTGTCTTCTGGCCGAGCGGCGTTATAACTTAAAAGCATTCCGGTGAGTGCTTGCACTGAAGGGGGAGTCCTTGACTTAACGACCAAGTTCTCTCTTAGTGACCAAAGGTACCTTGAAACCCCTCAGATACTTAACTGCCTGGTTTCCTGAAAGGCCCAGAGCCTTCCCACCGCAGGGTTTTGTTTAATGCTGGCAAATTCACTTAATGACCACGTTGAGTCACTTAATGACTGCCATAGGGGTGGGGAAAACCAGGCCATAAAATCGGTTTCGTGATGCTTGATGTTGACAAGTCACGCCGTACAACCATTAAGGGGCGGGGCTTCCTTACCGTCGTAACTCGAGGACCTCCCCACGTTTGACTTAACGCACCGCTCAGACTCCAAAACCCATAATGTGCCATAGTTAAAAGTTTGATATTTTTTTTTTCCTCTCCTTTTTTTCTTCTTCTCTGGATCTCATTTTCTTTTTTTTCCTTTTTTCCCCCTTTCCAGATCTCGATTCTCAAGTGACTTCCAGAGGTTTGCAGGCCATCCTTCCTCCCGCCCAGTCCCGGTCGTATTTCAAAAGCGTCTCGGTCACGAAAGTGATGGCGCCGGATGGGGTGAGCGCCGAAGGGCCCCTTATTCGGCCAGGGAGCTGGGTTGGCGGGGCTCAAAACCACGCCGCTTCCAAAACCAAAACAAAACCAAAAAAAAAAAAAAGCAAGTTACTAGTCCTCATGGTTTCCCTCAGGAAAAACTCCCCCCCACTTTTTTTTCTTCAAAGCCGAAAGCCGGTTTTTTCACAAAACAAAACAAACCCCCCCCCAAGTTTCTAGTCCTCATGGTTTCCCTCAGGAAAAACTCCCCCCCACACACACTTTTTTTTCTTCAAAGCCAAAGGCCCATTTTTTTTTTCACAAAACAAAACAAAAAAAAACCCAAGTTTCTAGCCCTCATGGTTTCCCTCAGGAGAAAAGCTCCCCCCCCCTTTTTTTCTTCAAAGGCAAAAGCCGTTTTTTTTCACAAAACAAAACAAAACACTCCAAGTTTCTAGTCCTCGTGGTTTCCCTCAGGAAAAACTCCAGAAAACTCCAAAAAAAAAGCCAGAAATTCAGACAAAAAAAAAACAAAACAAAAAAGCCCAAAGCCCGTTTTTTGTTTTGTTTTGTTTTTTTTGTCTGAATTTCTGGCTTTTTTTGGTTTTGATTTTTTGGGGCGCCCCGGTTTTAATTCAGACGGTGGAGGAACGCCGGACGGTGCGGGACAGCCAGGGCCACGAGGAGACGGTCGTGACTCGGAGCTTGGCCCCTGACGGCAGCCTGCCGAGAGCCCCAGGTAAAGTTTTCCAAACTGCCACCCTTTATTTTTAATTTTGATTTGATTTTGGCCCCAAAGGCTTGCCAACACATGTTTCTAGTCCTCATGGGGCAACCGGTACATTGGAAAAATGTTGGCAAGCCAACGCATCAGGAAGGGGAAAAGCTCTTTAAGGAGGAAAAAAAAAAAGGGAATATAAGATGAGTGAAGAATTTTCCCCCCTCCGGTATTTTACAGGTGATCCGGCTCCGTTCATCTCCGGCCCCGAAGGAGACCTGAGTGACACGAGTTCGATTCTCAACAGCTTTTTCCGCCGCTGGTTCCCGAACCAATAATTCTGCTGGCAGAGAGGCAGGTAAGGACGGCATTTCCCCCCCCCCCCGTCTTAAGCCTTGCCCAGCGTCCGTTCGAGGGAGCAGGGAAGGCTAGAGACGGCGAGTTCTAGTCCTGCCTTAGCCATGAAAGCCGGCGGGGGTGACTTTGGGCCAATCCCCAGGAGACGGTGAGTTCTAGTCCCGCTTTAGGCACGGAGGCCAGTTTGGGTGACTTGGGCCCAGTCCCTCCCTCTCAGCCCACCTCACAGGGTTGTTGTGTGGAAAATAGGAAGGAGTATGTATGTATGTATGAATAATATACGTATATATATTGTCATTTTTCCCCCCCCAGGTTTCTGTGCATTTCCTGAGTTCGCTTCTGTCTCCTCTTCCTTGATCATCGTCTTCGTAGCTTGGAAAAAAAAAATATAGGACAAATTAAAAAAAAAACTTTATTTATGCTTGAGGTTGGTCTGCGTGCTGTTTTTTTCTTCTCTCCCTTTGAAGATTTGGGGAGGGGGTCTTTCATCAGCCTTTTTTCCCCAGCAGAGATCCCTAAAAAAATGTTTTTAAATTCTCCCCCCTTTTTTAAAATCCTAGATTCAAACCCCAAACCAGCCAGAATTCCCTTCCGGGACCAACCTCAGCCCCTCCCTCCCCAATGTCTCCCCCGTCCCGTCCCCCCGTGCCCGACTTCGGGGCAGTGCAATTCTTGCCCCCCCCCCACCCTCCAACCTGTCAGGACTCTCCTTGGGCGTGTCCTGCGTGCGAGAGAGGCCCGTGTGTGTGTTTTTACCGTTCGGCATCGCCAAGGGCAAGGCCGACGGAGAATGCCAAGGTGCCAAAATCAACCGATCGCACACCCAACCCTCCGGGGTGCGGAGGACCCTAACCCCTGTCCGAACGAGCCTCCCCCCACCGCCCCGAGCAAGTCTACCTTCCTCTCCTCCCAGGGAGGAGTCCCAGAGGCCATCTAGACCCACCCGCTGACCCGTGACCCGTTCCTCGGCCGCTTCTGCCCTTTGCCCTTACGTAACCGCTTGGTCAGGTCATTAATCAATCCCGAATAACTTAGCTATTATCCTCCTCGGTGCCCCGGCCAAGGCTTGGCAGCGGCGTATCTCTGCCTATATATTGCCCTGCGCCAGCCGCCTCCTCCGCTCCTTCGCCAGCCCGGCTCTTGCCATGCCTTACGCCCGCTGGCTGGGCACGCTTCGCACCCGTTGCCGGCTTCGCAGCCACCTCCTGCGGCAATGCCTGGCCGAGTTTCTGGGCGTCTTTGTTTTAATCGTGAGTTATTTTGGGGGGGGAGGGGGGTCTTTTTAGGTGGGTGGGAATGCATGGAATTTGACCTGGGGGGGGGAAGGCATCTGATCCGGGGTTCAGAGAGGGGGGGGGGGGGAATTCGGCAGGGGGGTTGGTCGGGTTTGGGGAGAGGCAGTGGGGAGAGTGGGGTTGTTTGGGGGGGGGGGGGGGGGGGGATAATTTTGGAAGAAGAAGAAAAAAAAAAACATCCCAAAATTGAAGGTTGACGTTTGATGAAGATCGAACGTGGGAACGAAAGGAGTTTGCTGTCAAATCGAAGGGAGAGAGAGGAGAATAAAGTTATAGCAATGGAGAAATAAAATTTCCTTCCTTCCTTTCCCTTATCTGTCCCTTCTTCCCTCTCGCTCCCTCCCTTCCTTTCTTCCTTCCCTATCCTTCCTTCTTACCCTCTCTCTTCCTTTCCCTTGCTTCCCCCTTCCTTCCTTCCCCTTATCCTTCCCTTCTTCCTTCTCTCTGCCTTCCTGCCTCCTCTCTCTTCCTCGTTCCCTTCCTTTCTTCTATCCATCCATCCCTATCCCTCCTTCCCCCCCTTCCCTTGCCTCTCTTTCCTTCCTTCCTTTTCCTTATCCCTCCCTCATCCCTCCATTCTTCCCTCTACTTCATTCCCCCCTCTCCCCTTCCTTCCTTCCCTATCCTTCCCACCCCTTTCCTTTCTTTTCCTTCTATCTTCCTTTCCTGTCTTTTCCTTTCCTTTTTTCCTCTATCTTCCTTTCCTTCCTTTCCTCTCCTTTTCCTTTCCTTCTCTTCCTTTCCTATCTTCTTTTCCTTTCCTTCTATCTTCCTTTCCTGTCTTTCTTTTCCTTTCCTTTCTTTCATCTATCTTCCTTTCTTTTCCTTTCCTCCTATCTTCCTTTCCTCTATCTTCCTTTCTTTTCCTTTCCTTTCCTTTTCCTTTCCTTCTATCTTCCTTTCCTATCTTCTTTTCCTTTCCTTCTATCTTCCTTTCTTTCCTTTCCTCTATCTTCCTTTCTTTTCCTTTCCTTTTCCTTCCCTTCTATCTTCCTTTCCTCCATCTTCTTTTCCTTTCCTTCTGTCTTCCTTTTCCTCCCTCCTTCCCTCCCTTCCTTCCATTTTTGAGTAGCCTCTGCCAGTTTTTATGCTCCTTTTTAAAACAAATCCCAGCGCTGTTTGCAGCCTTCCTTCCTTCCTTCCTTCCTTCCTTCCTCCAGCTCTCTCTTCTCTGAAACATATAAAATGATCAAACACGCCACTTTCCACCCAAAGACGGTTGAGTCAAAACCAGCGTGCTTTTGGTAGGCGTAAATAAACCTCCTTTTGCACAACTGGCGTGTTTCACACCGGCAGCCTATCCTGACCTGCCAAGTTATTTATTTGCTTGGACGGGATATTTTGCCCTCTCTAGTGCACCTTTAACTCAAAGTGCAAATATTCAGTTGTCTTATAAACAGCTGCAAAGCAGACAGGAATAACGAAGGCCAGGAAATCTCCAGTCCTCATTTAGGGACTGAAGTTACAACGGCACTGAAAAAAAAAAAAGGGACTTTTCTTCACACTTACGACCACTGCTGAATCTCCCTGGCCAACCTGGTCAAAATTCAGACGCTTGGCGACTTGTATTTACGACGGCCGCAGTGTCCCGTGTGTGTGTGTGTGTGTGTGTGTGTGTGATCTCCTTTTGCAACCTTCTGGTGAGCCAAGCCAATGGGAGAGGCCGGATTCCTGATGTAATAACCGCAGGGATTCACTTCGCAAAGGTCGTAAACTGGGGCAAAAACTCACTTAACGGCAGTCTGGCTTAGCGAGGGGAATCGGGAGCTCCCGTCGTGCTCCTAAATGGACCCCCAGCCTAATTGCAATACCTGTGATTCCTGCCTGCAAAGGGAGCGAGATCAAAGAGCAAGCCAATCTGCGCGGCTAAAGGAAAAGTAGGTTATTTATAAGTGTAATAAGCCTTCGTCCCCGCGGCCTAGATTTCTCGCGGCGGGGAGTTGTCGGTATCTAGGTGCTTCCCGAGCCTTGACCCCCTTTGCGGCTGTCAATCACCCCGGAGGGAAAATTCCTTTGGATGCGGAAAGTGTTTCTGCTAATTCTTTGCACCACCCAGCCCTGGAGTGGTTGGAGGAGCGCGTCCCTCGCACTCGCAACCGAGAACGGGGAAGCCAGGCGATCCGGTTTGGCCTCTTCTCTGCCAATTGGGCCAACTTGGCTCCGTTGACCCGTAGGCTCATTCCTGGCTTTTTTTTTCCCCCTTCGGGTCGGCACCTCGTTTTGTCCTTGGTGTGCCGGGCATCGATTGTGTCCAAGATGCCCGACGTGGTCAGCGCTGAGCCCAAAATCAGCGGAGGCAGGAAGGAGAAG